ATGGATCATAGAGTTCCATAATGTTGATAAGTTTAGGTTGACATTTTGAATGACTTATCAATTATGGTAAGAAATGACCATTCAATAAATTTCAAGACCTCATTTAAAGGGAATTCAACATGTAATGAAATAATTATTTTGCTGATATCATGTATCAAGGTGATTAGTTATTTTTAATATCATATAATTTAAAAATAGATAAAGATAAGACTAGGCTTTTATATAATGAATACAAAGGTTGACCCCAAGAATCGAGCTATATATTATTCTAATTAAGTTGTTTTGTTTTTCTTAAGAACTACGAATTTGTTTCATCTAATTTAGGGTATGTAGACAGCTCAGTAAAATGAGTTTAGGAAATATATCCAATCAAAAGTTTGACGAAACAAGGGAATTGTGGTTTGAAATGGATAGTTATCCCCGTCTTCGCAATTTAAAGAGAAACTAAAATTTGTGATTAAAATGACTTCTTGAAAATTCAGGATTAAATCGTCTCAAATTTGAAAGTTCGGGATTTTTATGACATTTTTCCCGATTTTAAACTTCTTTTATATATTAAAATTTTCTATTATGCTTAAATTTGTTTAAAAATTAGTAAGGTTGCATAATATCAAAGTTAATTAAATCAGTTTGATTTGACATGTCTTAAATTGATGTTGATAAAAAAATAGTATGTATAAAGTTTTAACTCATTTTGAAGTTTAAGATTAATGAAAATTTAAACAATATTAACCAGTGTATTTGGTATTGAGTAGGATTCAAATCCGTCCTGTCATACAACCCTTGTATAAATGTTATTTTAAGAAAATATATATATGTAATTGCTTGCATATGTCTTTCGTATAACAATTTATTACCAAAAAATTAAACTCCTGTTTAAACTTATGGAAATGTGAATAATACTTTATTTTAAACTTTCTATAGAGTTAAAATACTAACAACACTTAAACTTTTAATAGAGTTTAAATATTTATAAGATCTTAAACACTACATGTAAATAAAATATTTATAATATTTTAAATTTTTTAAAGAGTTTAAACATTCTATAAAGCTTAAATGTTTATAATATTTGAACTTTTAAAAATTTTCAATATTTATAATATTTAAACTTTTCAAATATTATAAATATTGTAACTTTTAAAGGTTTCAAGATTTATAAAGTTTAAATATTTATAATATTTTAAATTTAATTTATAAAGTTTAAAATATTTATAATATTTAAAATTTTTAAAAACTTTCAACATTTATAATATTTAAATTTTTAATTTGCTCATTAAAAATGGATTAAACTGAATAAAACTTTTAAATTTGGACACTTGAGAAATCAATCTTTCTGCTCATTTCGTGTTGGAAGCATACAGTCCTATTTAAATAGATTCTAAAACATTGTAAGAAACAATCTAGGCTATGTGGGACATTGCACATATGCTAAAACAAAAATTGTACATATGCTAAAGTTTCCAATTTCCATTTACCCAAAGTTTCCGACAATAATTTTTGATTTTAATAGGGTAATTTAATGCATGTAATAAATTTGTAGAGCATTAAATTTTTGCTAAGAACCCTTGCAAAAATACTATAGTAGATGAGTATTAATACGCGGTATTGTATTTCTAAGAGAGGATCATCTCTTTGGAGAACATACAAAATTTTGTATTCTGAAACTTTTAGAACATGTTTTTAGTTCTAAAATTCGTAGAACATGTACAAACTGGTAGAATAGATAATCTAAAGTTTTCAAAACATGCAAAAATTGTAGAATGCGTAATCTAAATTTTTTAGAAATAAGAACATGTATTCTAGACTTTTCACAACAAAAATCATCTATATGAAAAAAAAAATTGTCAAAAAAATTGAAAAGCATCTTCTTTACATATAATACATAATGATTTATTAACATTATTTTCTAATTTTCAACTTTTAAAAATGCTTAGAATTTGATTTATATGGTAATAAGGGTACTTTAGTCAAGATTGACAGTCTCAAATAAAATGTATAGACAGACAAAAGTTTGAAAATATGTCTCGATTTTCCAATTTTCACTTTAAAGATCTTTGAAAGAAAAAGTTTTTGTCTCAAGCTCCAAATAGAGCATTTCCAAGATAAAATATTTGTGCACCCATTAAACTATAAAAATTAGTCAAAAGCAATATAAAATGGATAAATTGAGTTGGAGCCATTGAGACTTTGTGAAAATAGTGAAGAAATACTTGCTCTCGAAGTACCTTACATAAGAGCTATTGGTGAACCTATGTATCTTACAAATTGTGCGAGACTAAATATTGTATTTACTACTAATTTACTTGCAAGATACAACTAATCCATATCTGTAGACTATTGGATAAAACATATTTCTCACTATTTTCGAGGTAAATATGACTTGGAATTACTGTATCCTAGAAACTTTGTGTTTGGTCTACTTCGTTTTGCAAATGCAGGATACTTATTTGATCCGCATAAATCTCAATCCCTTCAGTATATGTTTCACTGTTGGAGTAACTACAATCTTCTACCGTTCACAAAAACAGACTTTGCTAGTCACTTCTACAAATCATACATAAATAATTGTGCTTCATGAAGCATGCAAAGAATATTTTATTGTACTTTTCCTCTTTTATTATGATTTTGTTCTAATAAATTTTTCATGATTGAATTTTTTAACGAAACAGCACGTATTTATAATAATCAAAGAAAAGTATTAGAATTAAAATATATTTAGAAAATTATAAATGATTATCCATTTAAACATTTTTCCAAGTTAACAAAACTTGCTAACTCTACTATATATATATATATATATATATATATATATATATATATTTCTTTTACTTCATTGTAAAAATATAATAAAACGTCAAAGAAGTACTAAAAATATTACTCTCCCCCGTCCCCCTCTACCTCAATTTTTACCATAAAGTAAAAAACATTTCCTGCTATTATTAATAATAATTTGTATAACACTAACTTCTTCATTTCATGGGATACTATAAAATGAGCTACTTGCATAGGAATGAACCAAATTTAAAAATATTGATAAGAAAAATAATCATGTAAGTTTCTTTTATTTTCTGTGGAAAATAAAAATGAAATTTTAAAAAAATTCATGATATATTAACATATATAAAAATATAGATTTTTGTATAAAAGACAGCAATTATTAGAATAATTATTTCTAAAAAATAATATATATACTCGGGTTCATAAAGATTAAAATATCATTAATCTTATATTTTAAAACGAGTTAAAACTTTATACATACTATTTTTTAATTACACCAGTATAAGACATGTCGAATCAAATTGAATTAGTTAACTTTGATATTATGAAAATTTAATCATTTTTAAGAAAATTTAAGCATAATAGAAAATAATTAATTTAAAAATAATAGAAAAAAATCTGCCCCACGGTACATCGCGGGTTAAAATCTAATAATTTTTATAAGACTAGCTTCTTCATTTCATGGTCAACTATAAAATGAGCTACTTGCATACCCATGAACCAAATTTAAAAATATTAATAAGAAAAATAATCATGTAAGTTTCTTTTATTTTATTTTTTGTGGAAAAATAAAAATGGAATTTAGAAAAATTCAAAACAAAACAAAAAAAAAAAATAGAGAGAGAAAAAGTTGTGGCATGAGTGATGGGTGTGTATGGGAGTGAGTGAGAGCTGTGAAAGGGAAGAGTCTCAGAGAGTGCAGAAGTTATCAGAGTTTTGCAGACTCACTCATTATTTGATCTCTGACTCATCCACCTCTCTCTTACCCTTTCACAAACTTTTTTAAATTCATAATTTTCTCATACATATATATTTTTTTTTTAATTTCAAAAACAAGTTATTATTATTATTATGTATAGTGTTTTTAAATTTTAACACAAGTGGACCTTGTACACTTAATTATATAACTGTCGATGTGTTGGGGCTTACAAGTACTACTACGAGTCCTGTCCCTAACCAAAGATGTCTAGTTCCATTACACGACATGTTTTAAGACAAAAGTGATTACTTATAAACTTATTACAAATGTCTTGTACTTGTAATACTACAATGAATGATTAAGAGATAACATTTATATTAAGAGAATGTTAATCTTTGTGTTTATCTAGGCCTTAATCTTTGTTATAGTTTGTAATATGATTAGGGTGTTTTATGTATAAAACATAATCACATTAAGAAGAATTAAAGAGGGACATAAATCCCTTTGGTTAGTGTACTTTATTTTGGATCACAAAATAAATGCTAAAGAACATCTTAAATATTGTAGGGTTAAATTCAAGACAACTTTCACAAATAAGTAATTTTTTTGTTTTTTTTGCTTTCTCACCTATATTATATAGTTTTGAGGCATAAGTTACTACACAAAAATAATATCAAAATATATACCAATACAATCAAATATTAGACCTGATGTCTACTTAATTTTATGGCATTACTGCTGAAAATTGCCATTTTAGAACCAAAATACTTTGAATTTTTCAAGTGCTTAATAAATTTTTAAATTTTCCCTTTTTACCTACTTAAGAAATATATTTTTGTTAAATCTTTTAATAATACAGAATTAATAACAGACACTAAACCTTATAAAAAAATGGAACCAAGAAAATCCAAATAATCTTATGTAAAATTTTCTTTTAAAACCTTTAAAAATATAAATCTAAATTATTATTTTTAAATAATAAAAGCCACAAATGCAACAAAAAAAAAGATTTTTTTCTCAATTAACATTAATTTTGTATCTTGTTACACGTTTTGCCGCTTCGTTTAATAACGTGTTAGATTCTCTTTTCGGTTATCAATTTTCTCGTTTTTCGATAAAAAGTTTCTCTTAACAAAAACCAAAGTTACAAAACTTGTGAATATAATACATAATAGATCATGGATAGAGATATAAACTTAAGTTACTCTTACTTACACATGCCCCTTGTCACAAAATCTAGCTTTAAGAAAGGAGAAAAACCTGAAATTTGTGCTTAAGATGTAACCAAAACTAAGGTGAAAAGAAAAATTAAAAGGAATATATAAACAAGAAGAGGACATGAAGCACAGAGATTCTGCAGACTGCAGGTGACCAATGGACAACTTTATCAATAAAAACATACCTACTACTCTCTTACACTTTCAATTTTCCAATACAACCCCAATCTTTAATCTCTCTTAGCTTCTTCTTCTTCTATATCTCTCTCTCTCTCTCTCTTTCTCTCTATCTATCTTCATGGCAACTAGGATTCCATTCACAGAGTCACAATGGGAAGAGCTTGAAAACCAAGCTCTTGTGTTCAAGTACTTAGCTGCAAATGTTCCAGTTCCACCTCATCTTCTCTTCCTCATCAAAAGACCTTTTCTCTTCTCTTCTCCTTCTTCTAATTCTTCTTCTCCTTCACCTTCAAGCTTCTTCTCTCCTACTCTTTCTCCACACTGTAAGCAACTCTTTTTATCTTCTTTGTTTTGAATTGTATGATGGTTTCTTGTTGTAGTATCTTTTAAGGTTTGGTACTGATGTAAAGAGTTTGACTTTGGTAGTTGGGTGGAACGTGTACGAGATGGGCATGGGAAGAAAGATAGATGCAGAGCCAGGAAGATGTAGAAGAACTGATGGCAAGAAATGGAGATGTTCCAAAGAAGCTTACCCTGACTCAAAGTACTGTGAGAGGCATATGCATAGAGGCAAGAACCGTTCATCATCATCAAGAAAGACTCTTCCTCTTACTCCTCCTCATCAATTCACACCAAATCTCTTTCTTGAGTCATCTCTCTCTTCTTCAAGGTTTCAAAACACACCCTCCTCCTCTGTTTTACTCTAATGGCAACACAAAAGATTAACCCTTTTCCTCTGTTTATTAAGGGTTAGTAGAAGAAGAAGTGGATACATGGATGACTTCTTCTCCATAGAACCTTCCGGGTCAATCAGAAGCTCAGTAATGGAAGATGATGAAGGGATCAACAGAGAGAAGCAGCCGGATCGACATTGCTTCATCCTTGGTACTGACTTAGGGACACGTGAGAGACCATTGATGCTTGATGAAGACAAGTTGAAACAAAGAGATGATGAAGAAGACGAAGAAGAACAAAGGAGCAAGAGGCTTTATAGGTTTCTTGATGAATGGCCTTCTTCTAAGTCTTCTGTTTCTACTTCACTCTTCATTTGATCATTCTTATGTTTCTTGTTTTAAGTTTGGTAATGCAAATTCTCTTCTTTCTTTTTTTTAATCTAATTAATTAGGATTATTTTTGTGTGTTCCATTCATAAACCACCACCACCCTAGTCACATGCATTATATTAGCATAAAAAATAATTTTAATTATTTGTAATATAGTTACATTAATATGATTTCAATTTCTATATTGCTTACACTAGTCTCTAATGCTTGTTGTCAACCTAATTAGTCACTTTATCTATCATAAAATCTATATATACTGTGGATATAGTAAATAGTTTGGTTAAAACAGTAAATTTTTATTTTTTCTAATGTAATGTGACAAATGAAAAAATGAAAAATTGAGGAGAGAGAGAGAGGAGTGATGAGAAAAGACAGGTTTTGCATTTGAGTTGAGTTGAGTTCTGTTCCCTGACTGACTTTGGTCAGGTCTGAAAAAGCCATACACCCAATCAAAAGCTTTCTGCTCTGACTCAGTGAGAGAGAGAAAAGACGACTTCTCATTCTTCATCAAACTGAATTATTATTACTTCTTTAGATTTTGCAATCTCTCTTACACAACACAAAAGCTAAATTTTATATATACTTTGGTGTTGTTGTAATTTTGTTTTATAAAAAAAAACACAATTGCAGTCAAATATGTTTCTGTAAAAAAAGTTGAAAGAGAGATCCTTTAGAGAGAGAGAGAGAGCAACATGAAAATGATTATTGGGAAAAATGTTATTTAAATTCCGAACTTACAAATTTTGGCTATTTTAATCATCGATTTCTACTGTGGCCATCAAAATCATAGACTTCTCGTTGACGTTATTTATAAATCACCATCTTCTGTTGATTGAGCCAGATTGAACATATTGTCAAATCAAATCCTCTAACAGAGGAGTTAACAACCGTTTAAGATCGCTAATTGATCTATGTTAAGTCGAAAAATGATAATCACAAAGACAAGCGACGTCGTGCTGCTTTAAACGAAATGCCTAAATCCCCAAATCGACGTCGAGGATTAAAATTGTAAGTTTGGGATTTAAATAACATTTTTCCAAAAATGAAACTTAAAACACACAAAAATTAAAGTTAAAGGGAACAGAAGAAAACTGCAGAAACAGTATCAAATCCTTCCAAGACCACACACCCACGTTTCTGACTCTTCCACTTCCTTCTGACAACACTCTTCTGTGTTTTTTTTTTATTTCTTTTGTTTTTTTTCTTTCTTCATACAACTTTTTCTATCCTAACACCATTCACTATGTGTCAAGTTGTTGTGTTTGTATCTTCTAATGTTATACAACCAAAAGAAACAATGTTACTTTTCCACAAAAATTCAAACTGTATGCATCCTTAACCTGTGAATGTAATTTGTCTTCCCACTACTGACTTCTAGAAAAATTGAATCAATGGAATCTTTGTCTCTAAAGTTACAACACACAAGAGAGATTTGTTGTCATGTATGAAACATCTCAGTTGGCTTCTTCCTCCTCTTCTTCTTCCTCGACGTTAGCAACTTCTTCTTCCTTATTGTTTTCTTCTTTCTCTCTCTGGAGGATTGAATTTGGCTGATTCTCCATCAGTTCACCTTCTTCGTCTGATGATGATAGCGCCCTTCTTCGTCTCACAACGGAAGCAGGCACCTGCACAGACCAAAACAGACAGTTTAGAAAACATGATCCTTGACGTTTATGTAGTTTCATAATTTGGATTGCAGCTTTATGTGTATTATTACCTCATCATCATCAACATCAGGGTCTTCGAGCCCAGCAGCAGCGAGAAGATCATGAGCATCATCATCCACAGGTTCTTCAGTTTCTTGATTCGTCAACTCGTCTTCTCTGTTATAATTAGTGTTACCATCTTCATCTTCCACTTCATTATGATCATCCATAGTAACAACTTCTTCTTCGTCGTCTTCATAGTGTCTAGCCCTTGAGCTTTTGTCCTTCTTTCTTCTCTTTCCGCCTTTCTTCCTTCTCCGCTCACTGGGCTTGCCTTCCCCATCATCATCTTCAACTCTATCCTTCCGCTTATGAGATCCAGGAGTAGAGGTCTTCCATTGTTCCTAGGACATTAATTATTACAAAACAAAATCAGCATGTCATCCTAAACATCTCTTAAGACTAACATATCGACAGCACACAACCTTATAAGTAACCAAAAACAATGGATTATATAGTATTTTTTCTTGACACTATACAGCAACATTGAGAAATCTGATCATGTATATATTGTAATCAAAAGTAGGAGACCTCCCACCTTTATACGTTGAAATTTTTCTTCTTCTTGCTTTAGGCGTCTCAGCTCATCCTCCTGCTTTCGTTTCTCCAACTACCCAAGAGAAAGAACCCATAAATGCATATTACTAATTCGAAAACCTTTCATACAAATCATCATCACTAAAATAATTTTGTTGCTGCAAATGGTTAACTTGCAAGTCAATAGTTACCTGGTATTTCCTCTGTTCTTCAGCTTTACGGCGTGCTTCTTCTGCCAAAGCAGCCTGACGAGCAACTTCTAGTCTCTGTCGGTTCTGCAGCTCTTCACGCTCAGCTGCTTCACGGTGAACTTTTGATGCTTCCAGCAAGTGCGAGCAATACTGAACGTGGGTTTGTATTTTCTTGTCATCAAACCCATGAACATGGAGGTCTGAAGCAGCAGACAATTGAGTGAATACACGAACAGCATTCTCTGCTTCTGCAACTGTTGAGCGCACCTGCGGAGTCATCAAGCAGATTCCCTTGTCAGGTGGAATTTAATTATCCCCCCCCCCCCATTAAACATATTAATCTTGTCTAAACATCTCATAAAGCAAGACATCAAATCCTTGTATAAACATCTCATAAAGCTATCCTAGTATCAGTTGTAGTGCATACTAAGGTTTCAATGGTTTGGCATTATTTAGCACGGATGACCAGCATACTGTGCAACTAGGGTTATGGTGAAACGTTCCAGATACATAAGCTGTAGAAGCAAGATCATAATCTGATTCTCAATCGATGTATGCTAATATCTACCTATCTTCTAAGCATGGAATACATAAGGCTAGAGTCAAAAATAAGCAAGGGAATATATCAGTCGCTTAGAAAAAGATGATCTTGGGTTAACCTCATCAGCTGTTCTTTTTTTCTTTTGCAGTGTGGAAGATGATGATTTCTGCATTACAGCACCCAAATCAAATCTGAACGTGTAATTTGAAGGAGTCAAGTGAATGGCCCTTAATAGTGTCTTTTTGCAATTTTGCCACTGCTCAGCCTCATAATGGGTACGGGCTAAGTAAAGAAGAATTTGAGAGTCTGTGTTGTAAAAGAACTTCCGCAAGCAGTTTTGATACTGCCAACAACGTAGTTAATTAACAGTATACATTAGCAAAACGTAGAAATCAACCTCAAAAAAAAAAAGTATATATATATATAAATATATGATGACAAACCATTTTAACGGCCAAGGCAAAATTCCCTTGAGCAAAGTAGACATGAGCCAGATTCACCCATACATCAGGCATCTGAAGAAATACACTTCCGCTCGCAGCTTCTTGAACCTAAAACATTCACAACTTTCCAATGAATTGAAGAAAGTAGCTAACCTTAACCACAAACAATAACTGATAAAAGCTGACCTGAGTAAAAACATCCTTCGCAATATCAAATTGGCCTTTCTCTGCCAATACAATGCCAGAACCGTTGGCAGCATACATGTTGGAATTATGTTTAGTCAGGACCTGTTAATTCCAACGATCCACAATGAGTAAGAAGATCAGCGTTGATGGAAAGACAACATCTCCTGTTTGAGAATGCAATGCTAATAGCATAGAAATTCCAACAATGCTGTTCAAGTTCTCAAGGCATCTTATCAAGAAGATAACTAAATTTAATAACCTACGGCAGATCATTTGACTCGTATGATCCACTCCTTTTAGATCTCACTCTATTTATTAATGCACTGTGCTAGCCAAAAACTCGCTGTCCTACAGAATTAACTAAAACACACATGTAATTCTATTTGTAAAACCCACACTTGACACAGTTAAGATAATAACAAAGAATTACATGATAAAAGAAGACACCTTGTCCAACAGCTACGGTTCGAAATAACAGACTGCAGGAACTTCATAATTACTATATGAATATAATACTAAAATGTCCACCATCCACTCAACACATCCATATGCAAATCTATCAGGAAGTATTTTCAAATTACTAGCGATAAGAAAGAGAGAAAGGAAAAAAATATGTATCATACTTTAGTATAGAGTTCCTTGGCCTTCTCCAGATGTGTAGCTTCTAATTTTGGATTTCTTTTCTCATTACGCATTGCCGCGAAATAATTCCAGTTCCCCTAAACCATTTCAAAAATATTACAGAAAAGAAAAAATAGTTATTATATATATAACTTGTAGAATATTAATTCCAAACATCTAAGGACACACCACACTAAATTATCAAGACAGAATCCACCCCAAGGTAGTTCGATATCTGCTAGACAACCAGCCCTCACCATGCTGTTGGTAGAGGAAACATGCAGGATGACGGGCTGGTTAAAAAGAACCTAATTGTTATCTTGACTGAAGTGTTGTACAAGAGAACCCAGATAACAGAAACAACTGATTAAATTAATCCCATAAAAAAGGCATGGTCCAACCATTTTTGGGTGTGAGGTACTCATATAAACCAATTCATTAATATGATTATAATACGTGTTTTGTTTTGAACCCAAAAGGAACTTAATCTGATTCTTATTTATTCTGAAACGCAAAAAAAGAAGTGGAACTAAAAGTATATACCAGGGAAAGAATAGCATATGAGTCCTTCCCATCAGTCGCATCACTAGCAGCTCGAAAGGTTTCCTTAGCCTTAACCCAGTCATCATTTTTAAGCTCCAATTCACCAAGCAGAGACAACGCATTTGGATTCTTATCGTCCACTTTCAGAGCTTCATTGACCTATAGGGGAAAGTATAGAAACACGGTCAGAAAGAAAAAACAAGCTGATACATATAAAATAAAATTAATGCTGAAGATGGTAGTAAACCAGTTCAATGGCCAGAGGAAGATTGTTCTGAGCTTTTGCACTCGCAGCAAGCCTCAAGTAAGCATCTATGTAGCCAGGATACTGCACCGGATAGGCAGTCAGATTAAGTTAACAAAAATCAAGAGTCAGCATCAGATGTTTGAAAGAAATACACAATTATCAATTCGAA